CTAGATCCTAGCACCGAATTTTATTCTATATTTACCCCAGTGACATGCTTTATTTATTTTAATTTGTTGTTAAATTTTCATTACTGATTTACTAATTTATTTATATCTTATTATTTTTTTCGATTCTATTTAGTTCATTTTGATATTTTATTTATTATTAAACATTTATTATAAATATGAATCATTGTACTAATCAATCATAAATAATTTTTTATTTTGAGAATTTGTTTTAAAATAGCAATTCAAAAATTTCATAAATTTTTCTTTGTAAAGAATTTTGAAGAATAAAATTTTATTAAATATTTTCAATTCCTATTCCTATTTTATGATACAGGAAGGAAGTCTCGACACTAAAAAATATTGAGAAACTATTTTCTGAAATAATTACCTTCCTGCGTATATGTGTGCGTATTCGAAGTCATATGACACGGCGACAAATACTCAACAATGTATATGAAATATACACACAAATACTTTTAGAAGTATTTAAATAAATATAAACACTCTATGCATAATTTATAAGCATATGTATATATGAAATATACACACGTCGAATCTTTTAACATAATTCTGGAAGTATACATGCACAAAATAGATACACACATGTAAAAAACGCACACCCATTTTACCACACATGTAAAGGTTAGTTTGTATTGTAGCGGTGTAATATACATGCATTATCATATGCGAGCCATATATGCAAAGGTAATTCTTTTTGTCGTCTGTTGTATCACTGATGTCCGAGTAAAGGTCTTCAACTTTTTTAACTTAAAGAACATATTTTTTACTTGGCATGGTTAAGGACCCTTATCCGTGCCAGGTCATTCATTAGTATTAAATTCATGAATTCATTCATTAATATTAAATTTTTATTTTTGGTTTCTGCACAAGATTTAAAATATTTATATATTATATTTATTGGAGCAATTGTACTAAATATGTTCGTATTATACATGAAGTTTAATACAATTCATAAAGCCTGCCAGTCTCAATATTTAATTCGAATAGCTTGTGAAAAATCTATGTTTTTCCTAATTTATAATAATATAGAAAAAATAATAATTTTTCATTGCAATTTTTTAGTAATATCAGAAAATGGTTCATTATAAATTGTAAATTATTGTTCGATTATTTGTGTTTAATTAATATTATGTGCGCAATGAGATTAATTAATAATAAAAGGTTTGATTATTATTTTTGATATAAATTTTAATTATTCTGCATTGAATAAGGCATCTTTTCGGACGTATTTTCGTTTTATTATTTGGCCATGAAGATGACAACCTTCATGGCATTAAACTTTACATGGAATGGTTGCTATTCCTGGTAGAGGGGGTAGCGGCGGTGTTTTAATGGAACTAATTCACATCTAAAAGTAAAGTCCGCGAAATAATATGTAAAATAACCAATAAATAAATAAATCTTCTTCAATTATAACTTAGTGACAAATCAATGGTTGTAATAAGAACTGCAACAAATACATTATACAAACAAATCAGTATTTAATACAGTCCACAGCTACAAGGGTTAAATAATAACCCAACAACCTGAATTATCGAAGGAGAGTTTTAATAAATTATGTAACTATGTAACATAAATACAGCATAATTAATTTGTTACATTACATTGATATGAAAATTATTTGTAATTCGTTTGCTATGTTACAAAAATTTGAAAACATTATTTCAATAAAACAATTACTCTTGTTAGGGTATAAAAACTAACCTAGAAATTTCAAGTTCAGAAAAAAAGTTTATTCCTGAAAAATTGAATTATCAACATTGATAATTTACAATCAATGGGGAGTTTGTACTAATATTTAAATGAAGACAATTTTAAAGTATGCATTTTAGTATCACATGTATTTTCATATTTTAGAAGTTATATTTATCAAATTCCATAATTTTAGAAGTTTCATATCGCACGATTGCTTTCTTGCTGAGAGCTCCAGGGTTTTATTTAGTACGGATCGTATATGTTGATTTAAAAACTACATTTAATAATAATATTAAAATAAATATATTCTTGAAGTATGCACTTTTGAATATTCAGTAAATTGATGTGAGAAAAATGCCAATACGTATAACCGCCAATACTGTCGACT